GAATTCTGCGCGAGCACTGAACTTCCCTCGTTGAAGGCTTGGACTGTGCGTCGCCTTCTCCACAACATCGGATTCGAGCATGACAAGAGGGAACGAAACTCCCGGTTGATTGAACGAGAGGACATAGTTGCCTGGCAGCAGAAGTACCTGCATGAGATCGCACGTCACCGACAAGATGGTCGGAAGATCTTCTACTTGGACGAGACGTGGGTGACGGTAGGGCACACTGTCTCAAGGGTGTGGGTAGACACGACAGTGGCCTCGTCTCATGACGCCTTCACGCGTGGTCTCTCGACTGGCCTCAAGCAGCCATCGGGGAAGGGCCAGCGTCTTATTGTCACCCACATCGGCAGCGATGAAGGCTTCGTTGACGGCTGACTGGACGTGTTCCGTGGACAAAAGACCGGTGATTACCACGAGGAAATGAATGGTGCCCGCTTCGAGAAATGGTTCGACGGTGTCCTCGACAAACTGCCGACAGGAAGCGTTATCGTCATGGACAACGCTTCTTACCATTCACGGCGGTTGGAAGCAGTGCCGACGACGAGTTCCCGGAAGGATGACATCCGACAGTGGCTCACGTCTAAGAAAATTTCATGGGACCCCAAGATGGTGAAGAAGCAGCTGCTTGACATTGTGGCCTTGGTGAAGCCACAGCTCGTAAAGTATCGTAGGGACACTGCTGCCGAGACAGCTGGCTGCACTGTGGTCAGGCTGCCACCGTATCACTGCGAGTTCAACCCCATTGAACTGATATGGGCGCAGATCAAGAACGGCGCTGCTGCTTGAAACACGACGTTCAAGATTGTCAACGTGGGGAGACTCCTCAACGAAGAAGTTGACAAGGTCACCACTGACAACGGGATTAATGCTGTCAGGCACGTTATTGACATTGAAGCAACATTCCGACGAGGCGGTGCCACAAGTGCCCACATCCAGCCCATCGTCATCCAGCTCAATGGAGAGGACATCCCGTCCGAGTAACCTGTCTGGTGTCGAGCCCCTTGACGAAGCTTAAGGCCACCATTATGGAGAAAGCGTGGAACATCTCAGAACACAAAACACGCCTTTTAGGACCACTCATTTGCTTTGAGATCGGATTGTTGTTCTTGATCACCACTAACCTCCCGTGTCTCATGTTGTCATGCTTCTCTGCTCGTTGCCGTATAGCATTTCGATATGCAGCCACCAGACAAACTTTTTATTTTTGTTGCGATAATGTCTAAGCTGGTCAATACATTGCACTGTGCCATGAATCACCAGTATAGATTTCAACTTAACGAAAACAAAAGTTTGCAGCCCATCTACGGCAAAGACATCAGATGCCATATTGACCCTTCCTGCTGTCTAAACATCTTTGTCACGCAGCAAATGGAATTTTGATTGCAAATAAGCTCTTTTTTGTCTAAGAAAAACGACACAACATATCACTGCCAGTGCTCTGCTTTAAAGCATAAATGGGACGTCTGTGGCCATTTACATGACTGAGGCTTCTGGGAATAACAAAGCCGTGTGTTAGCACAGCGGAGAGCGAAATCGCAGTACCAGTACTCTGTTTCAAAGTCTAAAGGGAACGCCTATGGTCATTCACATGACCAAGGCCCCTCTGAAAACAACAATAATGTGTGTCAGGACTGCGGGCAGCTAACTCTTAATGCCAATGACCTTTTTCGAAGCATAAACTGCACGTCGGTGGCCATTCACATGACCGAGGCCACTCTGAGAATAACAATAACGTGCATCAGCGCTGCGGGCAGCTAACTCTAACTGCCAATGACCTGTTTGGAAGCATAAACTGGACGTCAGTGGCCATCCACACGACCGAGGCCACTTTGAGAATAACAATAATGTGCATCAGCGCTGCGGGCAGCTAACTCTAACTGCCAGTGACCCGTTTCGAAGCATAAACTGGACGTCAGTGGCCATCCACACGATTGAGGCCACTCTGAGAATAACAATAACGTGCATCAGCGCTGCGGGCAGCTAACTCTAACTGCCAGTGACCTGTTTCGAAGCATAAACTGCACGTCGGTGGCCATTCACATGACCGAGGCCACTCTGAGAATAACAATAACGTGCATCAGCGCTGCGGGCAGCTAACTCTAACTGCCAGTGACCTGTTTCGAACCATAAACTGGACGTCAGTGGCCATCCACACGACCGAGGCCACTTTGAGAATAACAATAATGTGCATCAGCACTGCGGGCAGCTAACTCTAACTGCCAGTGACCCGTTTCGAAGCATAAACTGGATGTCAGTGGCCATCCACACGATTGAGGCCACTCTGAGAATAACAATAACGTGCATCAGCACTGCGGGCAGCTAACTCTAACTGCCAGTGACCTGTTTCGAAGCATAAACTGGACGTCAGTGGCCATCCACACGACCGAGGCCACTCCGAGAATAACAATAACGTGCATCAGCGCTGCGGGCAGCTAACTCTAACTGCCAATGACCTGTTTCGAAGCATAAACTGGACGTCAGTGGCCATTCACACGACCGAGGCCACTCTGAGAATAACAATAACGTGCATCAGCGCTGCGGGGAGCTAACTCTAACTGCTAATGATCTCGTTTCGAAACAAACAGGACGTCTGTGGCCATTCACACAACTGATGCCACCCTGGGAATAACAATACCTTGTGTTAGCACAGTGGAGAGCAAAATGCCAGTGCTAGTGCTCCGTTTCGAAGCATAATAGACGCGTCGAAAGTTCCCTTGAACTTTCGACGCCATTGTACTTGCTTGAAAAATATCGTAAAAACAGCACTAATCCAGAGATAAACATACATCAGAAATGTAATTAGGCGGTTTGAGCTGTTGCTTGATTAAAACATTGTTGATTTTATTGTTATAAAGACAAATCATTCTGCCACTTGCATTCGGACCAAGATCAGGACATCACGAGTATTCGGTATGTTTTCAATTCTTGATTTAAACAAATATTTCGCATATAACAAAGCCACAATTCATGAAGCGGGAAGCTGCCCTTACAATCAATTTTCATTGACATACTTTTCATCTTTTACAAATTATCAAACCAATGCTGCGATCCAATATTGTGGACACATTTAACTTCTAAAGTAAATTGGAAAAATTTGTGCGTGTTTACCGGTAATACCTCAGGCCGCGATGCGACGCGAGTGGAGGTACACACGTCACGTACCCGGGTTTCGAAGCATAAACATACGACTGTCACCGCCTCGAGAGCAAGCAGAATGTTCGGAAGCATTTGAGAGAACCGAATGTGCTTCCCTCAAATTCTCTGGTATTTGCTCCAAAAGAAGACATCAGCTTCTTAACGTCCAAAACAATATCAATTAAATGTTCGTAACATAAGCATCACTGGCTTTATCATTTGTGTGTCACCTGTATGTAACAGCTCATTATTGCGAACGAGGGTGCACCCGCGGGTACTATCGCAGTCATAGATTACCGTGCAGCTGATTGCAATGCGGAAACTTGAAAAGGATGCCACGTTTCACAGATTAATGCATACTGCTTCGAAGGCGTCATTTCAGTAGACAGAGCATTTATTAACGCCAGCAAAGATACGGTCGAAATTGGGTAAAGACACCTACTGTGTTTGCGGTTCACTTATGCCCCTCCGCACAGCCCACTGTACTTATAAAGAAGAGTTTGGTGACCGCTGCATTTTAACGTCGCTCCACGGAAACCACTGCGAAGAAAAGCCGATGCCTTCACGATGTTGAGGCGCAACCCGAGGCAGAGAAGCAGACGGCGTTCGACGTATGTACGATGCTAGGCCTTACTCCTGCATCGAAATTTTCTATGGCAATGCTATCGCTGGATTCTCAAGCTGTCGCGCAGAACCTATTGCGAATAAAAGTGGACGCGGTTACGACTTAGCGACGTATGCTCGGGTAAGTGAAAAACCGCATTAAAAAACAGAATAATTGCTGCAAGATACTCGAGTCGTAGAAAATCTGCCCAGCAGCCATGTTGAAAATATTCATTTGCCAGAACAAGATTGGTTCGGGCAGGTCGTGACGTCACGGAAACAACGGGGCGCGATTGGTGGCGGAGGAATACAAGATTCCCTTTGAGGGGCATTTGCTGCTACCTTCTTGACTTGTAACCGACTATAGTAATGGTGAGTGTCTTGCCTCCGGCCACGACGAGAGAAAGGGGGAAGGAGGAACTCCTCTCTTCCCGGGAATGTCTTTTGTGCGTCGCACAAGTTGCTATTGTCCCCCTACAAGATTATAGAAGATTAACCCGTCACTCAAAATTCGTGCAAAAGCAGCCCTTCGGTGGCTGGAAGGACTAGGCCATCCTCTCGACGTCAGCCTCGCCGTAGCTTTGCTCGTCCCGAGACGACCTACGTCACGATTGCGTTGGATGTCACGTGGTCTCCACTGGGCTTTCTCCGAGCGCTTGCCAGAGTGGGCCGTTTATAAGAAAAAAATACAGCCACCAGGCTCAAAATACAAACGTGCGATTGTCATTTACGGATATTGTGGATCATATTCAACCTGTTTTTGAACACGACGGGCACATTTCAAATTTCGTTAAAGTATCCCTTTAAGGTATATGTGGCATGCGTTATTGTGGTACACCAGAGCACTTCAAAAAACCTATGTGACAATCTTTGTTCATATGACATATCTAAATTTCCTAAATCTTACTTTAAATGGACAGTTTCAGACAGCTGTCTCGGCAGTACAAGCACTGTGAGCAGCCATACCTCTTTTTCTACCTATAGTAGGCTGCAGGTCAAGACGGTAGGGCGAGGAAAGGTAAGGCTGGAAAGGACAAAGCAAACAGAAGGCTGGAGAGGAGAGATAGAAACCTCTGTCAAGCATTCTGTCTGCTTCCCCCTCCCCAGTCTCCCTTTCCATCACTCTATCTTCTTAAACTGTAACTTACTTTGGTGGTGAAAGTGCTTGTGAGATGCAGACACCTTCAGTGGTGCAACTTTTTTTGTAGTTGAAGTATATCATGGGCAGATCTCATTTGGACTTTACCCTCTTTTTAGGGATGCCTGCTCACGACAAGTTTGCCGCCATCGTGACCTCGAAACGCCTCTTGAAGGACTTGCGCCAGTTGTCGCCCGACACCCAGACATTTTCTCTGGAGTCATTTCACAACGTCTTGAATGGGTTCGCTCCTAAGTCGACAGCATTCTCATCAGAGGGCATGCTTGCCAGGTTGGTATATATATATATATATATTACATACACACACATATACACAAACATACGTGACATGGCCAAAGTTTTAGATCAACATAATGTATCTTACAATACTAAAGTCTGATGGTGAATTCCGCTCGCAGATCTCGAGCGCTCCAAAAGCGCTCCCATTTGGAGCGCGCATATTCCGCTCGCAGATCTGGCTCAGGTTGGTCATCTTCCACTCGTAGATTCTGGCAGCGCCCGCTCCACGGAGCGCCCCAAACTCCGCCGAACTTGCTCTGCGGGATTTCACAGATCTCTCCGGAAGTTGATAGAGCGGCCCACGTGATTTCCGTCTAAATCGGCGGTGCGCACGCGCGGCAAGGTTGGAGAGATTGGTGGGCCGGTAGGGCCACGGCCGGTTGGTGGAGTTGGTTCTGTTCGGGTGCGTGGGTTGTTTACTCTGGATTGGGGAATGTGGAGTGTGGCAAATCGTAAGCGCTGACATCTGTGATCGTGAGAGAAAGAACGAGAAAAAGAATGACAGAAAAGCCGGAGGCAGACGCAAGGTTAGGCCTATTCATTCTGCAGCCAGTGATTGTTTACCTTTTTACACTGCATTCCGTCGGCGTTTTCCCGTGAAATAAAGCAAGAAGTAGTTAGGCAACGACCGCGCAAGTGATGGTTTGTTACCTCTGGGTTTATTAAAGTCGTACTACAAACCTGAACTCCACTGCTGGCAATCGCTGTCAGTGCCCCGCCGCTTCGAGGCGGCCGAAAGGTATGCGACGGTGCCGAACGCGGACGTCTTCGTTATTTGTGACATGGGTGCCGTGGTACGTATAATTTCGCCCGGCCTGTGTTGCGTGTTACTTCTGCAGCTAAGCAGTGACAGTCGTTACTGGTCGTCGGAAAGATCAGCCGGCTGAGGTGTTGGTGGGCTGGTCAAGTTCGAGCAGCGGCCATTTTGTACGGCGGAGGGAGAAGGGGTGGGGAGGGGTGTGGGGGAGGTCGCTCCAAAAATGCAAGTTTATCTTCCCTTCGTCGATTCGGAGCGGGTCCCACGGAGCGGAATTTTGCCTCCCTCACGGATTTTGGAAAGCGCTCCAGATCTACGAGTGGAATTCACCATGACATTTTTGTCTGCGTATCCAGGGTAATGTGAATATGTGACCCAGCTATACACTAACTCAAGGCTGCTATATCATGCCGTAATTGACAGAACAGTGACTTACATGATGTGATCATAAGTATCCAATGATGTTGCAATCAAGGTGAAAGCACATCAGTCCCTCTTGATGCGGCAGTGATTGAAGTAAAGCATAAGCTCGTGCTGCAAAACTCGGGGAGCCGTGGGTTCAATCCTCATCCCAGCACATTTCAATCTGAATGAGCGTCGTACCAGCATGCGGTCCTGTGTCACTACTGAGCCCAGATTAGCGGTCTTTAATGTGCACATACTACACTGGCTAAATTTCTCATCTACAGCAAGTAAGAATGTTTATAAAACCTCTTGCAGACTAACTGACCGCTGTATAAGCACCAAACAACAAATCTGACAGCTGACTCTTGATGCTTCGGAAAGAAATCTCTATTTGCCCCCACAAGGAACTCGACCCCCTGACATCCAGCTCAGAGACTCTTTTTGTGGGTTTAGGGATAAGGCTATCAAAGTCCCAACAACTGAAGCAGCCTGCAGATCAAAAAATTGCTCAGCCAATTTGGGATTACCCAACGGGCAGTCCTTTCAATTGGCCATTTGTATAGGCTTCTCCCTTCGTGAAAGCTGGACAGCACTTTTAAATGAGAAAAGAAGGCACACAGAGCAATACTTTCTAGGTTTTTGAATGCTGAGGCTGCATCTAAAAATCATAAAGAGACTATCCCAGAAATCTTTTTATTGCATACGTTGGTTGCTTTAGTGTTGTGGAAAAAGAAGGACGGGAGGGGGAAGCGGCACAATAAACTCAAAGCCATGCCAAACAAATGGAATGCTGTGGTTTGTCGTAATACCTGGCCTTTGCACACCATTTAGGACCCGCCTGGCAGCACTGCACTTTAATGAGAATGCGGAACGTCAACAAGCGATGACGAAAGATGGAGAACATCAGTGGAAAGTGAAGTCACCGAAGGCAAGGAAGGGGCACCATGTCGTGTGTCCAGTGAAGACAGAGATAACATATGGTAACTATGCACATATATTACATCACCCTTTCAGGCAATGTTGGTGATGTGATTGGCTTCAGTCATTTTGGAGCACCTTTCGGAGCATCCAAAAATGAATTTCGGAGCTGCAAAAATAATTTTTGGAGCGTATAGGCACACACCTCATTTGCATTCCTACCACTGCATATCTGAAGATTCTTGCGTTGACCTGTCTAACTAGAAGACGCTGTCTATTTTGTCTTCCGACCTCCGTGCAAATTTTTATTGACATCAATTGTATGGCAGGTTTGATTCGCTCTAAAAACAAAACTAGATGTCTACTTCAAAATAGAAACACCAGGCACAACATCATGCTGACTGATGAAGGACAGTCTAAACTGCCGTGAATGGTTCTTTAGGTAAACAGTCAAAGGTAAACCAACGTGATATTAGAACAGAATAATATTAGGTACCTGCGACAAGGCAAGACGCAAAATTGCGATGCCTGCTTCGTGGTTTTTGCTTCACTGCAGCGCACTAAAGCATGGCACAACAGAGCTAACCTGCCTGAACAGATCACGAACATGAGAAATTTGCGAGACTTGCGAGTATTGTCAGTGTTTGACACAGATATCAAATCGAGTGGTGTTATTCGAGGCCATAATCAAAGTTCATTTGGCGCTGCCTAATTAGCCCCATCGGGTTGCAACGTCTAAAGTGAAACAAAGTATAGTTAAATATTTACGAAACTCTTGCACGCTAAATAAACTTTGAACAGGCCAAGAATCTGGAGAGAGCGATACCATCGGGGCAGCGGACTGAAACAGCTAGTGATCATTGCAATGGCTCTAGCTGGCCGGCAGACAGCACAGTGCGTTAGTCATTAGTCGCCATAGTATGCAAGCTATGGAAAGCCAGTTTTCGCATTGTGCACTATGGGTGCTCGCGCTAGTGCTGACAGCACTGCAGCTCCCCACCCCCCTCGACGAAGAGTTGCGTTTTTTATGGCCCTTCCACATCAAATCGTGCGGCAGATAAATCGCAAAACTTTCTAATGAGGGTCTAAAAGCATGTGTTTGGAGACGCAGATAGCCATTTTTATTTTTTTACTAGACTCCGACGGTTCACCAGTTCACTCTTTTATGCTTTCTAAAGTAAAACATGGTCTGTCTCTTGATGACTTCTGGTCTCATTTCTTTCAGGCTATGTCCAGGAGCTGATGGCTGTGGTTGTTGGAATGTGTGGCTCTTCAACCTTTCTGAAGAAGTTCCAGGCCACAAGAACACCTCCAAAGCCAAATATGAGCGACCAATCGGAACGGCCATCAAAAAAAGAGTTAATTGACTCCAGAGTCAGCCGCTTTGCCAAGGCGAAGCCGCAGATTGTGTAACTTATCATTACGATCTGAACTACCAATATCATGTGGCTCTCTTCAGCTGTCTTCTACTTAAAACATTTTTTAAATTTATTTATAATATACCGCAGGCCAGTGATGGGCCCAAGCAGGAATGGATGCTGTTTTTCTTCACACGGTACTTAGAATTTATACATAAAACGAAAAGGAGGGGCGATTGAAAACACATAAACTACATAAAACACAGAGCACACTTTAATAAGCTGTTCAATTGATCATAGAACATTCTCCAAAGTAAAAACATGGGGAGGCAAGGAGATCCGATCTGGGGAAAAAAGAGTATTTAAAAGCATTTGTGCGAACGAATATGGGAGTTATTTTTTGTGTGTGGTCATGTCTTGTCTGTTTAGTAGATGGCTGAACGTAGGATGATGACTCGAGGCGAAGTTTGTGATACCAAAACTGAAAATTGAATTTTAATCTAGCTACTTTCTTGCGATCTTCTAGAGCAGTGGTTCTCAAGTGGGGGTCCGCGGACCCCAAGGGGTATGCGAAGGCATTCTAGGGGTCCGCGAAGCCCGGCCTCATCAGTCAAGCCCAACAATAAAAGTTGTCTTTTCTCAGATTGAGAAAAAATGTTTCAGTTTTCGGGCGAACTTTTACGTGTGTTTGTCAATAAGAGAGGTCTGCTTAACACTAGCCTTTAGTTATATCCATTTATTTAATCAGTATTATATTTAACCCAAGCTTTTCCTCACTCATCATCATGAACGGGGTCCTCCGTCCTTTCCGCCGATCCAAAAGGGGTCCGCAAAACATTGATCGTTGAGAACCACTGTTCTAGAGGAATGATATTGGTTCTAATTATTTGGTAGTAGAGTCATGCCGGAGATAACAATTATATGTAAAACGAACTGCTAGTCTCTGGACCTGCTCAAGCCTGTTAATATGTTTTTTCGTAAAGGATCCCATCTAGTGCAAGTGTACTCCAACCGAGCCCTTATTAGTGTGCTATAAGCTAGAAGTTTGACATGACAAGTTTGTTATATTTGAATAAAATACCGGAATGAGAAACCCTATCAAATGCTTTGCTCAAGTCGAGAAAAATTACGTCGACTCGGCCGGGTTTGTCGACTATTGAAGCGAAAGAATTAGTAGAAATAAGTTCTGTGGTAGTGGAAAGGCCTCTCCAGAAGCCATGCTGAAAGGCGAGATGATGTCATGCTTACCTAAGAATTCAGTCATGTAATTAGAAATTGTATGTTCTAAGAGCTTACATTATGTGCTGGTAAGTTTTATGGGATGGTGATTAGTTAACAGTGAACAATGTCCCCTTTTAAAGGCAGGTACAACATGTGCAATATGCCAACCTCAGGAAACAACACATGAAAACAAGGAATGAAAAATGACAACAAGGAACGTAGCAAGTGATTCAGCGTGACGACGAAGGAAGGCGTGGCGAATATTATCAGGATCACACAATGATTTCGGCTTCAAATTTTACGAACTCTTGACTAATCTGGTTGAATTATCGAAAGAAGTCTGTCGCGGGCCAAGATGTGAAAACAGATTAAAATCAGTGGCCATTTTCTGCTTGTGACTCATGGTTTCTTCAATTCGAACGGAATCCACGGTTTTCTGTTCATTTGTAGTGAGAATGTGCCAAAATTTTGTTGCATGTTAGAATAGGAAAACTCTCTACCTGCACGAATTTTTGTCATAAGTGTTTGCTTTAAATTTCGAGTAGTGGAACTGTTGGACCAAAGCTTTCCACTGTTTTATTTTTTGTACCAGATGAATTGGGTCTCGGGTGATCCAAAGGTTCTTAACGGTGTACGTTCAAGACAAAAACGGTGCAGTGTCGCTTTCAAGCCTTTCTTTTTGCGTCTAAACATATTTCTGGCCTCGTCATTTGCCAAGATTGCTTCGCGGACCACAGCAATTGGCTGTTCAAGCGCCCCGCAAGAAAGTTGACGGACAAGCATTTCTGAAAGTATGTTACGAATAAATCTGTGGTGTTATTATGGTAGGTTCATTAGGCACGGCAAAAAGATACAAGTGAGCTGGTAAGAGTAAAATGATTGAAAAAATCCCCCAAACCAGGTTAGGCGTTTACTGAGCCTCCAAAAATCTTGTGTACTGCTCGGACACGAATTCTCCAATCCGTGCCACAACACACGCAGGTAGAACTCGCCTGTTATGCCAGCCCAGCCTCTGCCACAACCACCTGGCGAACTGCCGGTAGGCAACAAAACATAGCCGACTGCAAAGAACAAATATAATACATATAGTCGGCGAAGCACCGCTTGCATTTCGCACGAAATGAATTAACAATGTTGGTGCCGGGCCGTCGCACTGCTGCAGCACAGCCGAATCAAAGTTTGAGAGCTTACGTAGTACTTGCTCGCTCCACGGCTCATTTGGAACCCTTGCTCTTGCAGCTCCCAGTACTTACGTTACCCGTAGCACAACGGGGTCCAGACATGGAATGCGAAAATATGCATGGTTGATGCAGCCGTTGTTTTGAATTGGGACGGGGGCGGCGCACTCCCGGCAGCAGAAGCACTCTCGAGCGGTCGGCGCTAATATGCACCACTTGCAAGTGCACCTTCAAAGAAATATATCATTTTATATCTTTGTTACTTCCGTGCATCTTAACCTACCATTCCGTACTTTGAAGCCGCCCCACTCCTCGTCGTCCGATTCCGATGAAGAACTGGAGTCGTCGTCGAAAGACTCGCCGCACTTCTCAACAGGCATACCGGCGTATAGGACTAGTCCCATGTTGTCGCTATAGCGCAACATATCTAATTGCATCTCGCTCAGTTGCGATGTATTCATGGCTATCGCAGCGATGAGAGGCGCCGATTCAGAAAAACATCGATGACATCAGTGCCATCAGCGCAGTAAAACTAAAACCTACCGGCACACCGCCAACTCGCCGCAGCTAACGCTCCCATTCTCCTACTGCCGGGAGAACTTCCGGTTCCGGAAGCAGTGTACGTCACGACTTGTTTTGCGGTCAGTGGGAGAGAAAGAAAAAGTCGATATTTCATTAATTTTTTGTGTAAAAGTTAATGAACCGATGCGAAAACGGACGCCTGTTCGGCATTCAGTGAGCATTGACGGTTTAATGTAAAGGTTATCGGGCAAAAGTAGAAAAGGTCATTTCATGGTCCCTTTAACTGGAACGTGTTTTTCTTTTAGAAGAGAGGGAGGCATTTACCTTAGTGGCGTATTCACTGTGCCTTTAGGGGGCTCGGCGAACATTACATGGGAGATCATTGTAGCGATAAGCTGTGTGGGTAAATAACTAAAATCTGCTAATCAACTTTCCCACGAGTGGGTTTCTAGCTCGTGTTGCAATTATATATTTAAAGTCATTAGACGGTAAATAAATTTGGACGTATTGCTAAAACCCAAAGGGATTTTAGGTATCTAGGTTTTCAGTTTTTTTATGGCCAAAACATAATTGGCTCGTTTGGCCACGGGAATCGCAGTACCGCTATTTCTGCATACTTGAATAAAGCAATCACTCGCTAACACATCGTACAAAATAAATAGCGTGTTAATAACACTGTTTATAGTGAAAAATAATATTCCGGGGCGCCTCTCGCGGCACAGATCATTTGATAGTGTTTTAGCAATGTCATTTATGTAATACAGTATCGCGAGAAATATATTGTGTAATTAAAAAAAATATTTATTATATATTGACAGTGCTACTGCCGAACTCTCCACGCCGGTCCACTTGTAAAGACGGATTTTGAAGTAATGTCTTGTGATTGTCTTTGTCGCCTCGTGTCCCATGTGTTTGTAGTTGACAAGTGTTTATTTGAATCTACGGTCAGTGCATTCAACCGTACGTTCAGTGCAGTTTCGCTTATTTTGCTCGAATTATTAAATCTGCATTTGTTTTAATTTTCTTCCCTTTAGTTGTGTCTGTGCGCCGCTGTTTTTACTCACATGAACACATATACAGGGTGATCCTCGAATCAGCCGGGACCCCTTCAACCGTCGCCGCGGACTACAGTTTGAGAACCGCTGAACTAAGATGTGCAAAATATCTCGAGTTAATTCCGTGCTTTGTCATGTTGCAACTGCTGTTTTAGAGACAATTAATATGGGCGGCTTTATCTTGGCAGTGTACTTTGAAACGAGTTTAAATTTATCCTACTCGGAATTCGTTTTATCGTTTGGAAGAGCAAGGCTGATGAATTTTTACGACTCGTTATAGCATGAATGAACTGGCTTAGAAATAGTTACTGAACAGTAAGAGCGTCTCGCGAATTTGACTATTGGGGAGGGGATCGAACTATAGGGGCCGCTTTGTCTAGATTGTTGTCCACACAGTTGGGTGTTTATTTTGAGAGCATACACGTTGGTTATGCTCTGCAACAGCCAGATGGGCTCTGCAAGAGCCTGACGAAGATTAAACTAGGGTGCCTCAATGACCTTCTGTTTAGAGTGATGCCACCCTTTGTAGTACCCGATACCTACAGCACGCGCTCACGGGGAAAATACAAAGAAATCGACGAAAACAAAATGTCGCCATAGCACAGTCAGCACCACAAGCGCGTGCAGGGACACGCTCTTTCACGCGCTTCTAACCAAAAAATAAAAATAAACGTGTGTGACAAAATGGCGAGATGCCACCACCCTAAGCAGAGCGCACATGAAGGCACCCTAGATTAAACATTGCGACGGCGAGGACGCAAGCCCCGCGTCGCCGTACGTGACGACGGACGACGTTCTTTCCCACGAACATGGAGAATAGAAGGGTAGGAGAGGGCATGACGTCGGCCGCGTAGCCTCCACAAGCCATGCTCCCTTGACGCCTCGCCTCTTTCTCATTTTCCTCCTTACTCTCCTCACTTACCATGCCAACGTGACTGCATCACGTGACCGTAGCTAGCCTTCGTCTTGCTATCGGCTACTAGAATACACCGCAGTGTAGCCTTCGATCTGATAAAACCTCCGGACGGAGCGCGCGCAAGCCTGCAAGGAGTCCTTCTACAAGCAACCATCCATCTCACACGTGACATGTCACGCGCACCAATCGCCAGAGAGATCTGTGGTCACGCTGGGCACAAAATCGTTTAAGCTTTTTATGACCAGGCTTCACCAATATTGCAACGTGCCCCCTCCTAGTACTTCTAACCTCCTTGCCCACGAACAACGGCAGTGCCTCTTCAAACCGAGAGTACTGCGCGTGGTTGCCCGACCGATCCTCCTTCAAACAA